GGCTGAATCTTGGGTCTGGCTGGGGTGTTAGGGGTGAGCGATGGCCAGAGGGCTACCATACCTTGCTCTATTAATCTGTTTTGGGTTTTGTTTGCTTTTTAAAAAACCTATTCATTGTACTGTGGGGGTATGTGTGCATGCAGGGCACACGAGTAGAAGTCAGAGGACACCTTTCAGGAACAGGCTCTCTCCTCCTACCTAGGATTGAACTCAAGTCACCAGACCGGCAGCAGTGCCTTTGTCCTTTGTGCCATCTCATCAATCAGTGATGGTTATCTTTTCTTCCTTCCTTTCTGTCTCGTGTAGTCCAGACTAGCCATAAACTGTGTATATAGCCAAGGGTGAGCTTCTGCTTCTCCTGCCTCAACCATTACAGGTGTGCACCACCGTGCCTGATTTATGTGGGGGGGGCAGGGGGGAGCCAGGACTTTCATATGCTAGGTGAGCTCTACTAAATGAGCCACAGTGCAGCCCCCTTTCACCTGATTTTTAAGCCAGTATATCACAGACTTCCAAGTCCATGCTAAGAGCTGTGGATATACACTGTTGTCCTGGAGCCAAGAACAGTGGCAACACCCAGGCCATTCCTGGACACACTCAGTCCCAACATGTTCCACCTCAGGCCAGCAAAGCAGAACCAGGAGACCTACATTTGAGCCAGCCTTTTGGTAGGGCCTTGAGAAGCCCTCAGCTCAAGGGCCAAGTTTAACAATCTTCAACCAGCTTTTGCAATGGGATCTTAAAGATCCCACCCAGTCATTTGCACAGTGGCTTTTACTGCTTAACTGCCACATAAACAAATTAGGTTTTGTTGTTATTTTGGATTTAAAAAATATTTTTGGATTTTTAAATCTGAAAACAAAATTACATGTATGAGTGTTTTGCCTAGTCTTAGGGTTTCTATTGCTGTGATAAAACACCATGCCCAAAAGAAACTTGGGGAGGAAAGCGCTTATTTCAGTTTACAGTTCTCAGGTCACATTCCATCAATGAGGGTAGTCACAGTGGAGTGATGCTGAGGCCCTGACGGAATTCTGCTTACTAGCTTTCTCTCATGGCTTGCTCAACCTTCATTCTTACACACCCCAAGACTTCATGACCGGGGAAGGCACCTCCCACAGGAGCCACATTAATCATCAATCAAGAAAATGCACCACAGGCTTGGCCACAGGCCAGTCTAGTGGGGCATTTTCTCGATTGAGTTTCCCTCTTCCAAAATAAGTCTAGTTTATGTCAGGTTGCCATAAAATTAGCCAGTACAACTGACTCCATGCCAATCTGACACACAGACACATCAGTGTTAAACCATAACCTTTTCATTCTCGTTCACCCCCCAAGATCTCATATTAATATTACTATCACAAGATAAAATGTTCTAACTTTTAAAAGTCCCACAGTCTTTAAAAATTCCAACTCTTTAAAAGATCAGTCTTCAGCCGGGCAGTGGTGGTGCACACCTTTAATCCTGGCACTCAGGAGGCAGAGGCAGATGGATCTCTATGATTTCAAGGCAAGCTTGGTCTACAGAGCAAGTTTCAGGACAGCCAGGGCTACACAGTGAAATCCTGTCTCGAAAAACTACAGAGCAAGTTTCAGGACAGCCAGGGCTACACAGTGAAATCCTGTCTCAAAAAACAAACAAACAAACAAAAAGTTCAGTCTTCTAAAAATATTCAAACTCTCCTTCAAAGTTCAAGCCTCTCTAAAATATCCATAATCTCTCTAAAAGTCCAAAGTCTCTTTAAAAGTTCAAAGTCTCAACTGCGGGCATCTGTTAAATCAAAACAAGTAAGATATTTTCTTATTCCAAGAAGGAAGATCCAGGGCATAGTCACAAAGAAAGCAAAGCAAAACCAAAGTCCAACAGTGTAACTCAGTGCCAGACATTGGAAGTCACAAGCTAGGCAACAGAGGGCTTGAACAGCACACACAGCTCATCTTCTAAGCTCCCCTGGGCTCCACTCTGAAGCTGCCCTGGTCATCCCTTGGTGGTCACCCCTTGGCACTAGCATCTCCAAAATGCTGGGTCTCTGCAACGAATAGCCTCTTTTGAGTGCTCTCTCAGGGACTCTGACCCTGCCACATGGTGCCAAGCCTCAGCTTCTCTCCATGACCCCTTCCATCCTGGGGCTTGGACTGAAACTGAGGCTCACAGAGTCTTGCCTCAGCCCCACCACTACTGCTTGCCTTCAAAACCAGTACCACCCTGGAAACTCATAGATATTGCCAAGTTTAGTTAGCAGCACAAGGTACCCCCTACCTCCCTCTGGACCACAGCTTCTATGTTGAGCCTGAGGAAACACTCCCAAAAGATTTCACCCCAGTGATGCTGCTCTCTTCTCTTTGTCCTTCTCCTTTTCCTCTTCTTCAGCAGGATCTCATTGTGTAGTCTTGGTTGGCCTAGAACTCTATGTAGAGTAGGCTGCCATTGAACTTACAGAGATCTATCTGACACTCAATCTCTGCTGGGATTAAAGGACTGCATCACCATGCCGGACCCTGGTCTGTTTTTAATCCCTGCTAATTTCTCAATCCCATGCAACCTGCATCAGTTGTCTCAGCAAAGCCAAGTTTTGTTTTGTTTTGCTTTTTGTTTTGTTTTGTTTTGTTTTGTTTTTGTTTTGTGAGACAGGGTTTCTCTGTGGCTTTGGAGCCTATCCTGGAACTTGCTCTTGTAGACCAGGCTGGTCTCGAACTCACAGAGATCCACTTGCCTCTGCCTCCCGAGTACTAGGATTAAGCTGCAAAGCCAAGTTCTTAATTTAAAATATCACATAAGTGACCTTGACAGAGTTTTTGTTATTGTTTTGGTTTGGTTTTTTGAGACAGGGTTTCTCGGTGTAGACCTGGCTGTCCCTGACCAAGCTGTAGACCAGGCTGGCCTTGGAACTCACAGAGATCCTTCTGCTTCTGCCTCTCCAGTGCTGGGACTAAAGGCGTGCGCCGCCAACGCCCAGCGACTCAACCTGTTTTCCTATACTACCCAGGACCACCTGCCCGGGGTGGAAATTCTCATGGTGAGCTGGGACCTCCCACATCAAAAAATGCACCATTGTCTTGCCCACTGGACAATCTGGTGAGGACATTTTCTCAGTTGAGGTTCTCTTTTCCAAAATGACTCTATGTGTCAGGTTGAGAAAAAAATTAACTATTACTGAAAGGGCATGCGGGGGTGGGGTGGGGGGTGGGCAATAGCATTGGACCGTGTCTCACATGAGTGCATGTGGGTAGGTGCAGGATGTTTGCCATTATTGCAGAAACACATTTTAATTTTTAATCTTTAGTTTGATTTAAACATTGCTTTCAGCCAGGGCGTGGTCAATATTGCTGTGTGAGGGTAGAGCACTCCACATACTCCACAGCCTCCAGCTCCCAGCAGTCTCTGGAGTGATAGGCTTCTGCCTGTTTCTTGGCAACTTTCTCACCAGTAGAGGGGTCATCTCTGAGATCAGTTTGGGTCCCAAACAGCAATAAAGGAGTCTCTTGACAGTGGTGAATTATCTCAGGCACCCAAACTCCCTTCAGATGAGGTTGGTGAGACCACTGAAAACCATACTAGAAGATGTCTGTTCGTGGGTAACTCAGTGGTCATAGTCTGTCATAACCCTCTTGCCCTGCAGTATCCTAATGTCCAAGAGTATATGGCTCTCCACCAATCATAGCTGTGACTGCATAGTTGTTGAAAACAGTCGGTACATACTCCAATGGAAATTTGTTGTATAGCATATCAGGAGACATGCATCATCGGCAACAACACACGTAATTGTCTGCATTGTGGAAATAGTTTTGTATCCACTTTTAATGTTTCAAATTAGGTGTGGACCTCAGTTTCTCTGCAGGGGCTGAGCACTGCCTGAAACTTCAGTTTTAAGGGATCTGACCTCTTCTGGCCTCTGCAGGCACCAGACATGTACACAGTACACAGACACACATGCAGACAAAACACACACACACACACACACACAAAATAAAAAAAATTTCAGTCTCAAAAAAATGTAAATGTATCGTCAAATCAGGGTTTCCTTTTTTGTTTCTTCTGGAAGTACAGGGGGTTGAAATTACTGCTTAATTCCTGCTAAGCTTATATATAATTTAAATACTTTATATATTTATTTTTGATATCTATGTATATATGTATATATTGGTTTTCCTTTTTGTTAGTTTTTTTTGTTTTGTTTTGTTTTTCAAGACAGGGTTTCTCTGTATATCCTTGGCAGTTCTGGAACTTACTCTATAGACCAGGCTGGCCTCGGACTCAGAGATCCTCCTGCCTTTGTCTCTCCAGTGCCGGGGTTAAAGGCGTGCACCACCACCACCTGGCCTACATTTTTATATGCTTTTAATCATTTTTATTTTTTACTTTTGTTTTTTTGAGACAGGGTTTCTCTGTGGCTTTGGAGGCTGTCCTGGAACTAGCTCTTGTAGACCAGGCTGGTCTCGAACTCACAGAGATCCCCTTACCTCTGCCTCCGGAGTGCTGGGATTAAAGGCGTGCGCCACCACCGCCCGGCTTTAATCATTATTTTTAAATTGTGTGTATGGGGGTACATGGAGGTAAGTTCAGCTCTGGTGGAGGCCAGAAGCAGGTGTTGGCTCTCTTGAAGCTGGAGTTCCAGGCTGTTATAAACCTCCCAATATGGGCATTGGAAACTGAGATCAGGTTCTCTGCTAGATTCCCAAGCGTTCTTGACCACTGAATCATCTCTCCAGCTTCCCCTTCCCATCATTTTTTTTTCAATCTTTAAGACCCCCTGGGAATGCTGGTACCCGGAGGAACAGCTTTCCTTACTGCATCAGAAGTCTGGCGGGCCTTTGAGTTTGTGCCCTGCGGATGGCTTTCTCTTGTCCACACTAGGAAGCTGCCCTCAGCAGCACTCCTTGGTAATTGCTTCGACAGGACCCCGCGGACAGTAACCTTCCGGGCCTGTGGAAAGCATCTGTCACACGAAGATTTCCTGAATGCATGGCTTTTTCACTGTCCAAATTCCCTCTTTCTCTAGAGTCCCTCTTCGCCGAGTTCACCCTGGACACAGGCTCTTCAGCCCACTGAATGGATGGGGACAGCCAGCAGAGCCTCCTAGGACCCCTACCGCTGGTGACAAGCCCACCTTTGTGCCTCTGTACAAGTTCATGAACGTGAGTCCCGAGCCCCATGTTTCCGTCTTCGCGGGTGGAATACCCTCCACTTCATTTATCCTGTGTTCTCTTGTGCCGCCAGACCCAGTACTTTGGAGACATTGGATTGGGAACGCCTCCTCAGAACTTCACGGTTGTCTTTGACACGGGTTCTTCCAACTTGTGGGTCCCCTCCGTGAGATGTCATTTCTTCAGTTTGCCCTGCTGTGAGCTCCCCGGGGAAGAAGGCCAAAAGGGGTGATGGGAGAAGAGGGGCTTGGCCTCAGTATTCCCTAGTCTGTCCTCACAGGTGTTCAGTGTCCCATCGCCTGAGTGACCCTATCTTATCTCCTGAATTAGGGTTTCACCGTCGTTTCAATCCCAAGGCCTCCAGCTCCTTTCGGCCCAACGGGACCAAGCTTGCCATTCAGTATGGGTCTGGGCAGCTGACCGGAATCCTGAGCCAGGATAATCTGACTGTGGGTGACTTCGGCCACACAAGACTGCAACTTAGAACCCAGGGTCTACCACCACCTGGTTCAGGGAGGGGCTTAAAGAGGCAGGCCCTCATGGGAGAGGGGGAGGGGATTCTTGAGAGGAGGTGGGATCCTAGGGAGGGATGAGGGGACAGGCATGGTCAAGAGGGTTCTCCTGAGCAAGGGGTGGAGCTCCTTAGAGTCTCCTAGGAAAGGAGGTAGGGATTCTAAAGACCTTAGCAAGAGGATGGGGTTTCTTGGGAAGGGGCGGAGTCTCTTGAGAAAGGGGGTGGGACTTCTAAAAAAGACAAGAGGCTTTCTTTGCAAATTAAGCATGGCCTCCCCAGAAGTGGCGCTTCCTGAGTGGTGGACAGAACCGTATAGTTTCTTGGGAAGGGGCGTGAGAATTCACGTAGCCCATCTAGATTCCTTCCCCAATGGCTCCAAGCGGGATCTCAGCCATACGAGGGTAATGTCTTTCTAGAAGTAACTGGTTCCACCTCAATTTACCCTTAGATCGGGGAAATCCGCGGTGTCTCTGTGACGTTTGGAGAGGCTCTGTGGGAGTCCAGCATGGTCTTTACTTTGGCTCACTTTGATGGGATCCTGGGCCTCGGTTTCCCATCTCTGGCTGTAGATGGAGTTCAGCCTCCACTGGACGCAATGGTGGAGCAGGGGCTGCTGCAGAAGCCCATCTTCTCCTTTTACCTCAACAGGTATTGGGTGAGAGTTGTTTCCATAGCCAAGAGTCCAGCCATTGCTAAATTCCTTTCCCTTAGGAGAAAGATGCCTTCCTCTAAGGTCTCCATACCTGCGTACCCTCCCACCACGGTTCACTCTAGGGGAACCAATGAACTTATTTAGCTTCCTTACATATCATAGGTGAGGAGTTACCCACAGCAGTGTGGGCACTCTTCCCCTAAAAGGCTGCCCCTGAAATGTCTCTATCCAGCAGGGATGGGGGGTTCCCTGTAGTGCCATTGGAAGAGCTTCCCCTAGTTTTCCCCAGTCTACGCACCTCTCCCAGGCCACTAGCAATTGAGGCAGAGTTGCATGGGAGGAGACAGCTGGATGTTCAGGTGAGGGTCTCATGACCCTCCTCAACCTTCCATGAGGAATGTAAACAGTCAACAAGCCCATCTGGGATGTTCTTTTTCAAGGGGGTACAGCCTAACTCCCAAGATAGTTGTTGTTTGGCTTGGTACATAGTTACAACACCAGCCTGGAGGAAATCTCCTTCAGGAAGTCCTATTACCAACACAGGAAGTTTTATGGTCCTTGAAGGAAATCAACCTCCCAACACAAGAGTTTTCACCTGCATTCAGAAAAGTGCTTACCTAATATAAAGACATGAAAAGAGCCCCACAACCTAAGTGGCAACTCAGGACAACTAATGAAACTCACCATGGGTTCACAATGCCCCAGGTCTTGAAATCAAACAGGAAATTCCATGCCCATACGACAAGTACTCCAGTTAAGGACCCTTGCATCGCCCCAAAGAGAGCTCATACTCCACTGGAGAGCCCTGCCTAGAGCTAGCATCACCCATTACTTCATATTTTAGGAGGCACAACCTTATACTCAAAATGCCCCCCTCAGTACCTCCCTACTCTTCAGGCATGGTGGTGCATTCCTGTCATCCCAACACTGGGGAGGTGGAAGCAGGAGGGAGTTCAAGGTCATTCTTATCTTGCTTCCAGTCCCCATACTGAGGACCTGTTCACACCCCTCTATCCTATTGTCTTGGTTAGGGTCACTATGCTGTGATGAAAAACTGTGACCAAAAGCAAGTTGGGGAGGGAAGGGTTTATTTGGCTTACACTTCCACATCACTGTTCATCACCAAAGAAAGTCAGGACAGGAACTCAAATGGGAGAAACCTGGAGGCAGGAGCTGATGCAGAGGCCATGGAGGGGTGCTGCTTACTGGCTTGCTCCCCATAGCTTGCTCAGCCTGCTTTCTTATAGAACCCAGGACTACCAGGCACAATCCATGGTAGGCTGTGTCCCACACCAAACACTAAAAAAACTGCCTACAGCCTGATCTCATGGAGGAATTTTGTCAGTTGAGGTTCCCTACTCTTCAGTAACTCTAGCTAGTGTCAAGTTGACATAAAACTAATAGCACACCCACCTAGAAGCCAACTGGCAGGATGTCCTTTCCTGGCCATCTCTGGGACCAACAAATGAAACACTAGCCCCTTTATTGCACTCTACCTCTGCAGAGACGCCGAAGGGTCTGATGGAGGAGAGCTGGTCCTGGGGGGCTCAGACCCAGCTCACTACATACCTCCCCTCACCTTCATTCCAGTCACCATCCCTGCCTACTGGCAGGTCCACATGGAGAGGTGAGGAGCCTGACCTTATGGGACTTGAACCAAGGGTCTGGACATCCAGGCCCTGCCTCTGATGACAGCTTCTGTTCCATCCTCCCTCACAGTGTAAATGTTGGTACAGGGCTGAGTCTTTGTGCCCAGGGCTGTGGTGTCATCCTAGACACAGGCACATCTCTAATCACAGGACCTAGTGAGGAGATCCATGCCTTGAATAAGGCTATTGGGGGACTTCCCTTCCTGGCTGGGCAGGTGAGGACCACTCCTGGTACTTACGAGTGTGCTGAGAAGGATCTTGGGGGTTTGGTGGCAGCTTTCGGGTGGGAAGCTACTGCCTAAAGGATAAAAGCAGGTTACCAGGATGTAAATGAGGAAGGGCAGGGGGACCTGGAGGTCTGAGTGATGCATCCCTGGTGGGTGGGGTAGAGAACAGTAGAATTTGACTACTAGGAGAAACCTCCCCCAACAAGACCTTTTTACAGGATGGTCCAATAGAAGCTCTAGGGCACTGGGGACTCACCAAGGCACTTGAGCGGAGCAGGGGTCACCTGCCTTCCTTCACTGTTCCTCTTCTTCCACAGTACTTCATTCAGTGTTCCAAGACCCCAGAGCTCCCCACTGTCTCCTTCCGCCTTGGTGGAGTCTGGTTTAACCTCACAGGCCAGGACTATGTCATTAAGGTAAGATGACTGCCATAGTTACTCAGAATAACAAAACTGAGCTCCAGAAGGTAGAACTGGGGCTTGGACGTTACCAGGGCTGGGTATCCAGCACAGGAACTTTGCCTTTAGATTGGGTCTCACTGTGTAGCTTTGGCAGACTCAGAACTACTAATATAGACCAGGCTGACCTCAAACTCAGAGATCCTCCTGCCTATTTCTCAAGTGCTGGGATTAAAGCCTATGCCAGCATAACCCATCCGGAACCTTGCCTTTCTTTTCTCCCTTTCAAAGATTTTTATTTATTTTGGGTGTGTGCATTTGACTACAGCATGTGTGTAAAAGTCAGAAGACAATTTGAAGGAAACGATTTTCTCTTACTATGAGGGGGTCTGAGGATTGAACTCAGGTCCACACACTTAGCAGCAAGTACCTTTACCAGCTGGACCATTTCGAAGCTCTCCTTTCTTCCTTTCTCAGGTCCACACACTTAGCAGCAAGTACCTTTACCAGCTGGACCATTTCAAAGCTCTCCTTTCTTCCTTTTTTTTTTTTTTTTAAATGGGATTTAAATATGCTCCCCAGGCTGGCCTTGAACTCCCCATCCTCCTCCCTGAGTCTCCTGAGCACTGGGATCACTGGATGGTGGCACCATGCCCAGCTAGAAACACTCCTCATTCTCTTGTGGGTGCAGAGGGGACAATCAAACCCGGATCCCAGTGACACGCAATGTCCTCCATGTTGTCATCTTGCAGATTCTTAACAGTGATGATGTTGGCCTCTGCCTATTGGGCTTCCAGGCCTTGGACATCCCGAAGCCTGCAGGACCCCTCTGGATCCTCGGAGACGTCTTTTTGGGGCCCTACGTGGCGGTCTTCGACAGAGGGGTCAAAACCGTTGGCCCGCGTGTGGGTCTGGCGCGTGCTCGGTCTCGTGCAACTGTACCAGCAGGAAGAAAGGCTGCGCAAACGCAGTTCCTCAGAGGACATTCTGGTTAGGGTACATGCACACAGGGCCACAGAGGCCGTGCTTCTTTCCAATTAAAAAAAAAAAAAATCCACTTTCAATTGAAGGAACCCACTGTAGTCAGTTTCGGGAAGGGAAAATGGATGTCTGACTTCTGGAGTTGAGGAAAAGATGGGAGGGGAGAGAAGCATCCTATTCTGCAGTCTGCGTGCCCGCGATAGGTCTAGGGACAACAATCCCCATGAAGCCTCTGGCCCCCACTGCCCGTAGCCAAAAGCCCGTGTGCCGCGGAGCATCACGGATTTTGTAGTTCTCTCCCTGTTGGCATTCTGCCGAGGGCGGCCACAACCAGGAGTGCGGCGGGGAGGCGACAAGTCGCGGTAACAGGTGGCTGTGTGTGTGTGTGTGTGTGTGTGTGTGTGTGTTTACCTTTCCCTGGGAATTCCAGAGTCCCTGGATCTGTCATAGAGGCACACTTTGAAGACCCCCGGTAGTGGGGAGCTGGGACTGTCCCTCCTCAGGTAGTGATGTCACAGCTCCCATCCGCAGTCCCTCGCTGCCCAGAGGTGCCCGAGCCTGGTCACCACTCCCCAACCGCCAGATCCTTAGACTTGGAGTGAGTGTGGGGAAGGGGGCAAAGGCTCAAGTTCTGGGGGTGGGAAGACAGTCTACAGCTCAGCTTGTGAGACAGGGAACCAAAGATTTCAGGGAAGGATCCCCCCCCCCCCGGGTTTTGAGCTTGGGGAAGGTGGCAAGGTGCTTGTGTGGGGGTTTTGTTTGTTTTGTATGGTTGGTTGCTTTTGGTTTTTCGAGACAGGATTACTCTGTGTAGCCGTGGCTAGCGTGGAACTCACTCTGTAGAAAAGGCTGGCCTCGAACTTGGAGATTCACCTGTGTCTGCCTGTGTGTGTGTGTGTGTGTGTGTGTGTGGCGGGGGGTGAGGGTGGGTAGTAGTGTGTGTGAAGCATAAGCAGTGAATGTCTGTCCTCAGTCTTGGCTTCAGTGGGTTTTGCAGTGATGGGATGGGAAGTAAGAGGTGGAGCAAAAAGTACTCTTAGAAGTTCAGGAGGAGACTAGTTTCTAGTTACTTGGCCTTGGGAATAAGGGATGGGACAGCAGGAGGGGGTGCCAGGGAAAACAGGGTGTCTGGGGGAAAGGGTGAGAATGGATGAGGTGGACGGGGACTGACTGAGAAAAGAGTTTCAAGAAGTGGCCAGACCCCCTGCTGCATTCCCTCAACTCAGTTTTACTCTGTTCGCCTCTAGACAACCCATCCAGCCTATGGTCCCTACTGAGCAGCCCTTCTCCCCAGGCCCTGGGGAGTGTGGCAGGCCTTTTCTTTTGGGCCAACAACCGGCACCCAAATCATGATGTGGAGACTTAATATTAGTTATGAATGCTTGGCCTTATCTTAGGCTTGCCCACAGGCTCTTATAACTTAATTTAACCTGTTTCTCGTCATCTACATTTTGCCTCAGGACTTTTTTTTACCTTTCTTTCATTCTGTATGTCCTACTCTCTGCGTCCTATGTGTGTGTCTGGGCTGGCAGTTGACTGGCTGGCCCCAGGTATCTCTCTCTCTTTTTCTCCCTCATTCTCTTCTTTCTTCTCCCCCAAGCCTAGATTCCTCCTCCTACTTGCTCTCTCTGCTAGCCGGCCCCGCCGTTTCCTCTACTGCCTAGCTATTAGCTGCTCAGCTTTTTATTAGATCAGGTACCTTAGGCAGGAAAGGTGAAACAGCAACACATCTTTACATAATTAAATGTAGAACATCTTTGCCCAGTTAAATAAATATTCCACAACAGGCCTAATGAGGTATCCAAGTTTCCCAGGGCTCCATGAGTTTCAAACTGTTGCCTGCTCTCTATCCCCACCTCTAACCCCATAGTCTTCTCTCTGTTTCCTCCTTGTTACCCCCACTTCTGACCTCTGGGGAAAAAACAACACTGATTTATTTGGTAATAGAAAGTCAGAGTGGAGTTGAGGTGTGACAGAGGATTGCAATCTAGGTCCTTGTGTCAGTCCATACTTCCATCCCCAATGCAAACCCAAACCCTGGGCCAGCCTGCAATCCTGTCCTGTGACCTGGGACCCACCCATCACAGCAAGTCACTGCTTCTCTTTGTTACATGCCAGAATTAGGGGTATACAGTGCATAGTGAGTGCCTCTTTCTATTTTCTACCCTGATGGGTCCAGCAGAGTCTTGAAGGCTCCAAAGGATGGGGACTTCAGGGTCTGGGGCAGGTGAGGGCTCACACCTGGGACATGCCCCAGTTCTGCAACTCTACAATGACTCGGATTCAACTGCTGCCATTATGGGAGGTTAGCCTGAGATGGGGGCTTACCCAGAGACAGAGGAAACAAGATCCAGCAGAAGAGGGCGACAGAGACCCAGAGAGAGGCAGACAGACAAAAACAGAGACCCAGAGGCAGAGAGAAACCAAGACCCAAGGAGAGAGGGCGATAGAGCCTCAGAAAGTGAGACAGACGAGATCCTGAGAGAGTGAGAGGGGCAGAGTCCCAGAAAGGGAGAGGGGTCATAGACCCAGAGGGGAGGAAATAGAGACCTAGAGAGAGAGGGACAAAGAGCTAAAGAAAGAAGAACTGAGACCAGAGAGGGAGACAAAGCCCCAAAGAGAAAGGATAAGACCCTCGCACAGAGAAAGGCAGAGGTCAAGGAACAGACACAGAGAAAAGAGGAACCAGATTCCCAGATTGGTGGGGACAGATGGGAGGACACTCAGAGAACGGAGAAACAGAAACACTTAAGTGGGAACGGGACTTGGGATGAGAATATGAACCCGCGTGGCGTCTGCAGAGGGAGGCGACAAGCCAGCGACCGCAGCAGCCCCTGACCCGCCCTCTTCGCTCTCGCAGGCGCCTCCTCCCGCCGCAGCCCGCGCCCGCCGCAGCCGCTGCACTTGCTTACTGCCGGGTCCCGTGCCTAGGACCGCCCAGGGGGCGGAGCGCACCAACTCGGAGGTGTGGTCTTTAGTCCGGCTCCTCCCTTCATGCTGCATAACCCCACCCCTTGCCATTGGCCCACCTATCCCAGTGACTGAGAAGCTGTTGCTGGTGTTCCTGGCTGCGCTCCTCTGTGCATGTACCAAAGCCCACTCCTTTACCCATCTCTTGGCCCTCCTGCCCGCAATATTTGTGGTTTAGGCCTCATTCCCTTTCCTCCATCAGCTGGAAACTTTTGCCCTTCCTCAAGGCCTCGTGGACCACCCCCCCTGGGGCTCTGACACGGAATCTCTCCATTCCAGCCCTGGCCTCCACACCCCGTGTCCGGCGAAGCAATGTTTTTCCCCTAACAGGTGTCTCATTTCCTGTTCTCCATCTCGCCAGCCCGACGGCTCCTGGAGCTCTGAATGCTCATTTTTAACCCTCCACTTCGCCATACACTTATTAGTCTCATCTTCCTCTGACCACTGAAGATGCTTCCATCCCGTTATAGACTCTTCTGCCTGTTTCACTTCCCATCCATCGAACCCTCTTCCTAACGGAGTCCAAGTTTGCAGGAGGACCTGATGGTGCATGTCTGTCATCCCAGCTACTAGAGGCTGAGGCAGAGGCAGGATAGCAAACCTAAGGCTTGGACTCTACAGCTTGCAGTCTCGGCCCCTCCCTAGCTTCCATCCAGAAGATCCCAGGCCTCTCCTTCCACCCCTCTCCACTGTCCCAGTGTCTTCCCTTCGCCTCTCCCCAGTCTTTTTTTTTTTTTTTAAACAGGTTCCATCTCCACCTCCAGTTCTGTCCGCCCCTCTCCCCCATGTGAGACCCTTCCCCTCATTGTCCCGGCCCAATGTTATTAATTTCTTGGCCTTCTAATCACTGTTAACCTAACCAAAACCCTCCCCTGCTCAGGTCCTGCCTGCCATGACTTTAGGTCAGTGACCAGTTTCCAGTTTGGTTTCTTTTTATCAGCTTCTTCTACTGTGATTTTTTTTTTTTTTTTTTTTGAGATAGAATCGCATGTCACCCAGGCTGTACTCCATCTCACTCTGTAGCATGACCTTCAATTCCTCACCACCACCCCTGCTCCCCTTCCGCCCCCCCCCCCCCCCCCCCCCACG